TCAGGCAGACTGTGGTATAAATGCCTGACTAAAACTCTCAAATCACTGGGTTTCCATCCATCTCCAGCTGATAAATGTACCTTCACAAGGGATACCAAAGGGGGGCTGGAGAAAGTCCTAGTGTATGTCGATGACCTTTTATATATAGGGCCTGACAAGGGGGGAAGTATTATATTTGCCAGGACCCTACAAAAAAAGTTCACTCTAAAGTCTTTAGGATATGTGGACAAGTACCTAGGCGTACAAATCATCACTACACCAAAAGGTTTTGCTCTCTCCCAAAAGGAAAAGATAGAGGAACTCTTGGTGAAATGTAAAATGGAAGATAGCAAGCCAACGGCTATCCCAATGCAGACTGACTATTATGGATTGGCACACAAGGATAGCCCAGAGTTCCAAAATAATACTCTATTTAGATCAGTGATCGGCTCATTACTATATATAAGTAACTGGAGCCATCCAGATATTGCCCTGGCCGTAAACCTGCTATCTAGACAAGTGGAACATCCTACCCAGTTCCACTGGTTGGCCATTAAAAAGCTATTAAGGTATCTCAAGACCACAGCAGATTACGTGCTTCGCTTGGAACCTGAGAATAGAGACAAGGCCCAATTAAAATGCTTCGCGGATGCGGACTGGGCCGGAGATACCAAGACACGTAGGAGTACTTCGGGCTTCTTGGTACTATTAAATGAGGCACCCATCCATTGGCATGTGGGGCAACAGAAATTTGTTTCGTGCTCCACCGCTGAGGCCGAATATGCATGCCTATCAGAGGCAGGGAACGATCTGATATGGTTTGATGCCTTAATTTCTAGCATCTGGACACCACCGACTTTGCCCATCCAAATTGTAGAAGACAACACCGGGGCCATAGGCATTGCCAAAGCCTATGCGGTAGGAAAAAGGTCCAGACATATTGATATCCGCTATCAAAATGTTAGGCAACTAGTAGAGATGGGGTTTATATCTTTATCACATTGTCAGACCAAATATCAAACAGCTGATATTTTCACAAAACCTCTACCAGCAGATAGGCACAAAGATCTGTGTAAAAAGTTATGTCTCACAGGGTAAAATCTGTTGTGCATTGCATTTGTATGTTTGCATGCCATTGTCTCGCAAGGAGGGGAACTGTCAAGTATTTGCAAGCCATTGGCACATATATGGTTATGGGCGCAACCCGTTATGCCCATGTGACACCCCTCCTGCGCGAGCTGCACTGGCTCCCGGTGGTCTTCCGGGTGCGATTCAAGGTGTTGGTTACCACCTTTAAAGCGCTCCATGGCATAGGACCCGGGTATCTCCGAGACCGTCTTCTGCCACCAATAGCCTCCCACCGACCAGTTCGTTCCCACAGAGAGGGTCTCCTCAGGGTGCCATCAGCCAAGTTATGTCGGCTGGCGACACCCAGGGGGAGGGCCTTCTCTGTGGGAGCCCCAGCCTGTGGAATGAACTGCCCCCGGAAATTCATAAGATCTCCGACCTCCGGGTGTTTCGCTGCGCATTGAAGACCCTGTTGTTCCGCCAGGCCGGACTATCAACACAATAGTTTTAAATTGGGGTATTTAAATTTATTGGGGTTTTAAATTTGAGCCACTTATTTAATTATTTTAAATTTTATATCATTGTTTTGTCTGTGTTTTTAAATAGGCTGTACACCGCCCTGAGTCCTTCAGGAGAAGGGCGGTATAGAAATAAAATTATTATTTATTGGTTAATCTTTAGTGAGATTCACAGCCTTTGAGGCTGGTTAATAGCTCAGCAGCTCGAGTCCTAACCAAGGACCTAGGAACTGTTAAGGTATCGTCGGAGGATGTAAGCTGTTCCGAGTAAGGTGGTTTTTTGTAGAGTCAAAATGTTCAAGTCCGGCAAATTTAGAATTTCTAAATAGCGGGGTAGTCCTTTGGGTATTGCTCCGAGGGCTCCAATTACAATCGGGACAACACACGATTTCTTTTTCCACAGTCGCTCAACTTCAATTTGTAAGTCCCGGTACTTTGTGATTTTTTCTTGCTGCTTATCTTCAATTCGTGCATCACCAGGTATTGCAATGTCAATGAACCATACTTTTTTCTTTTCAACTATTGTTATGTCAGGTGTGTTGTGGACCAAGTGCCTGTCAGTCTGAATCCTAAAGTCCCACAAGATCTTGAGTTTCTCATTCTCTAAAACTTTCTCAACCTGATGTTCCCAGTGGTTTTTGCTGTACTCAAATCCAAACTTCTGGCACAATTTCCAGTGAATGATTTTAGCAACACGGTCATGGCGTTGTAGGTAGTCAGTTTGTGAAATTTTGCTGCACCCACTGATCAGGTGGTCAACTGTCTCTTCTTTTTCATTGCAGAGGCGGCATTTGCTGTTGGTGGTAACATGTTGAATTTTTGCCTTCATACAGTTTGTGGCTAGGGCTTGTTCTTGAGCTGCCAAAATAAAGCTTTCTGTTTCTTTTTTCAGTACTCCTGATCTTAACCAGTTCCAAGTTAGTTTCTGGTCAGCTTTGCCTTCAATACTTTTCAAGTATTGGCCATGCAGAGCTTTGTGTTTCCAATTTTCAGCTCGCTGCTCAATTACTTCTTTCTTATATTCTGCTTTTGTTTTAGTTGTCTTTAAAAGGCCTCCTTTATTTACTTCCTTAATCATTGGTTCTTCACTTTTCTGGATGTAACCATTCAAGCTGCATTTTTCTTCTTCCACAGTCTGCTTTACTTGTAGGAGTCCTCGACCACCCTCTACTCTTGGTAAATATAATCGGTCAACATCACTTTTAGGGTGCAAGGCATGATTCATTGTCATAAGCTTCCTTGTTTTTCTGTCCAAATTGTCTAACTCCATCTGGGTCCAGTCAATTATTCCTGCAGAGTATCTAATCACAGGTATAGCCCAGGTATTTATGGCTTTTATGATGTTTCCTCCACTCAATTTGGACATTAATATCTTACGAATTCGTCGAATGTACTTGGCTGAAGTTAATTCCTTGACTTTATTATGCATTAAGTCAGAGGCTTCTAAAATCCCCAAGTACTTGTAGCCTTCTTCTGATTTTACTGCCTTTATCATTTCTTCATTCTCTAGTTCTATTCCATCTTCTTCTATGATCTTGCCTGCTTTGGTTGCTATTGTTGCACATTTGTCAATTCCAAACTGCATACCAATGTCTTGGCTGAATTCTTTTGTGTTTTCAATTAATAAATTCAGTTCAGCTTTTGTTTTACCAAACAGCTTCAAATCATCCATGTACATCAAGTGCGAGATTTTCAGTCCTTTCTTTGCAAGTTCGTATCCACAGTTCATCTTCTTCAAAATGATTGTCAGTGGTAGCATTGAGAGTATAAAAAGTAGGGGTGAAAGGGAATCGCCCTGGAAAATGCCTCGTTTAATTTCAACTTCACCCAGTTCTTCTTCATTAGCCATAAGTTTTGTTTTCCAGAGGTTCATTGAAGATTCCATGAATTTTTGTATGTTGCTGCTGATGCCTAATATTTCCAGGCATTTCTTGATCCAGCTATGGGGAACTGAATCAAATGCTTTCTTATAGTCTATCCAAGCCATGAACAGGTTGGTTCGTCTTTTCTTTGAGTTCTTTAGGATTAGCTTGTCGATCAGCAATTGATCTTTTGTTCCTCTTGAGTTTTTGCAGCATCCTTTCTGTTCTACAGGAAGCAAGTTATTTCTTTCCAGGTATCCATAGATTTGGTTTGCAATGATACCAGTAAGAAGCTTGTATGTTGTTGGCAAGCAGGTGATTGGCCTATAGTTTCCAGGGTCCTTTCCTTTTTCTTTATCTTTTTGGATCAAAAATGTCCTTCCAGTTGTCATCCATCCATCATTTTCAGGTGTTTTTAGGATCTGGTTCATCTGGGTTGCCAATCTTTTGTGCAGACTTGTAAGTGCCTTTAACCAGAAGCCATGCAGCTCATCCGGTCCAGGTGCACTCCAGTTCTTCATTATTATTATTATTATTATTATATCATACAGACACTAGTGGAGGCAGAAAGTGCCCCCACCCCTATGTGGAGAGGAGGGGCTTACACTGAGTATAAAACCCCCTAACCTTTCCACCATGCTCTCTTTTACGTTTGTTCTCCATGAGACATGATCTTTGATAGGGGTAGTCACACACGCTGTGTGCCCCCTATCCTAATGGATATTAAGACAGCCTTTGTACATAGTTAATATGCTTTGATATATGAATAAATACATTTATCACATTTATTCATGCATCTGCCTTTGGACTCTTCTATGCTCCTGGGTGTTTCTACGATCCCAATTTCCACATATATATTGGGGAAGATGACTCTCATGCTTATGAGCGAGGTAGGAGAGTGGTGTCAGCGGTGGGATATCCATGAAAAAGTGGCACATAAAAGCAAGGTGTGGGAGAAAGAGGAGAGGGAAGGAGGTGTGCGTTTGTGTGTGGACACTCTTAGAGACAAGGGGCCACTTTGGAACATGGCTTGAATTTTTGAAGGTCCACAATTGGGCTTGACAATTCAGTCATTTGGTGAAGCAATTGCTAAGTAACTGCAGCTGCCATAAGTGTGAGGATTGGCCATAAAGATACCTTTTCATCACTGTCATAACTGTGAATGGTTGCTAAGTGAGGACACCTGTTAACCCTATGATTGTTGGCCTTGTTCCCACAACATGGATAAGGCAATAGCCGAGTTGCACAACTTGTTAAACCACACAATATCCAATACCACTTAAATGTAGCAGTTAGATGTCTCATTCAAGTTTTACTTTCCTTGACAAATTTCACTCAGATATTGAAGTGAAGCCATGCAATTAATCCCATTAAACTGAAGGGAATCCAAGGGAATTATTGAAATATTTTACTTGACTCTTTCTTGTAGACTTTTATCTTTATCCTTTAAAAAAAAAAAAGAATCATACAGCAGGTGCTCTTCATTCAAAGAATGACATGAACTTTTTGACGTTGTGAAGTTTGGAAAAACTGGGCCAAAATAATGGGAATTCTTCCCACTCAGGTGAGTTACCTCAGCATCTTCAAAGGTGAACCGATCTTCATAGAACTTGAAGCAATTCCACTCACTTCCGTCTTTATAGGCAAAGGTGCCAGAAGGACAGATACTCCGACCACGCGGACCTGCTGGGAAAACAGAATAAAAATGGACTTTTTCTTCAAGGACAATAACAAGGCTGAGAAATCCTTGAGCAAAAGAGACCTTTATAGCTACTTAATAAACATTCCAGAGAAGAAAAAGATTTTATTCCATGAAGAAAAGCTGGAAGGAATGACTTAAACTCAATGAGTCAATTGCAATTAGGATGGATTTTTATCGGTCTGAAATTTGTAATTGAAAAAGTCATAATGTAAAGTGGGTTTGAAAATGAATTTTTTTCCCTTTATATTTAATGCTTAAGTCATTCCTAAAGCTTGTAAAATATTACTGAAAGTGTGTTAGAAAGTATCTATGTTAAGAGAAAATTATAAAGAAAAAATGTATTACCTTAAAGAATAGTTTTGAGTTTTAAAATGGATAAAACAGTTTTTTTCCCCTTTAAGGTTAAAGAATCTATAAGAATACAGTGAATTTCATGAATATAAATGGTGATAGTTTATAAAGATTATAAAGTGCAAACAGAAATATATACTATTCCCACTGCAAGGAAGATAAAGCAGAAATGGTTACATTGAATGCTTTATTCAAAGAAGAGAATATATTTAATTAAGTTTTTTTATTTGCATATCACTTCTGGATTTTGTGCTTGTGATTAAATTTTTTGGGGGGTGATTTGATAGATTTGTTGTTATAGAAACGGCTAGTTATATACTAATGCGTAGAAGTTAAAAGCTGAGCCTGTAAGGTTGCTATTTTGAACTGTGCTAAAAGGAGTCGGAAGTCAACATTTTTTTCATTTTTCCCTTGTGCCCCGTATTTTCTGTCCCCCTCTCTTTTTCCTTCCCCTGATTTCCTATTTTCATTCTTCTTTGTATTCCATACTTTGAGAAAACAATAGAAGTAAAAACTTGAAATAGAAGCAGAAAAACAGAATGAGAAAGCAAAGAGAACAAGAGCAGAAGTGAGAGACACCGAGATGGCTCTTGGGCTCGGTGGGCAATCAACTTTCCCCAGGGGCCACATAAGAAACTGGGACTGTTCTGGAGGGCCAAAGCAACAGGGCTATGAAGGTCTGTAGGCACGCAGGCACCCACATACACAAACTGGAAATAAAAAGCTGCCTTCAAGATGAAAGCAGTGCATTGCATTGTGTGCATGACGTACACTTATTTGCATTTGATTTGTAACTTCTGACTGACCTCACGTGGGCCAGACAGAGAGAGCCGAGGGGCCAGATGTGTCCTGGGGGATGTAAAATGCCCAGGTCCTCTTTAGTGGGCTGATGTCAGCCTCATCCTGTAGGTACCAGTGTTTGGGGTCCATATAATGAGACTCGGAGGTCTTCTGGAACTCCATGCCTTTCTGGGTTGGTCTAAATGGATCATGGCTAGAAGTAGAGGCTCCCACATTAAGAATAAAACATTAAAATAAGCCAAGGACTAGATATATGGTGACCCGGGGGGGAAACAGGATGGAGGTGGGATATATCAACTTTGCTGGCAACAACTTACCTGCCCAGGTAAGGCTGCCCAAAAGGCCAAAGACGAAGCAAGTGATGAGAAACATCTTCAAACCTGAGGAGGGAAACAGAAGTTGAGAAGAACCTTGAATGTCCTCCAACAATGCCAGGCCACCCACTTTCGGGCGTCCCTCCCCAGAAGGAAGAACCGAGCACTCGTCTCAACCGTGAAACCCACCTGTTCATCTCTGGATTGCAGCCCCCTCCCCTCCCCTCCCCAATACTACCCTGAGCAATTGGTAGAGACCCCCGTTCTGCCAGGAACCACAGCCTGTAATTCTCAAAATGTTGGTTCTGAGCTTCTGGCTCTCATAGTTGGTTTTCCCCCATTGTGACCATTAAGATCTGGGTCACAGCAGAGGTGATCCAGGTCGTATGGATGGTGTAAAGTCAGAGCAGGCTACCTGGTAGAAGAATTTGGAGAAGGGACCCTTAGCTAATCCTCAACCCCAATGAACTCAATGCCTAAATAGAAGGGATTCATGTTTTAAGGCCCCCGTCTTGATTTATCCTCTTCTGTTTCTCTTCATCTCTACCGTGGACAAGAAAAGCAATCCTCCCCTTTCACCCACCCACCCTTTTAATCCTGTGAACCACCTTGGTTGCCAAAAATGGACAAAGAAAGATATAAACACACACAATGCCAACCATCGATCTCTTATGAGAGATACAGGACTTTCAGTTGCTTATAACCCAAGATGCCTCGTCAGTCAAATAAATTATCTCTTCTATCTTTTTGTCCTGGAGTTCTTGCAAGGGATGTTGAAGAATTTCAAACTACAGGCATTCTTTAAAAGGGGGTGAAGGTTTTGCATCTGGAGATCTCCTGATTTTGTTGAAAACCCTTTTAATCAGAGCAAGAGATATACACGCATAGCTCTGAGAGCCGAAGTTCCCTGAAGCTATTGCTATTTGGTATTGAAACTTTTAAACAAGAACATTGAAAACCAATCTAAATGAATATAAAGTAAGGAAGCCAAAAGAAAGGAAAGAAAGATCAAAAGAGGGTGGGGGAGACTAAAGAAAAAGAGAAAAGAAAAAAGATAGGAAGAAGTAGCTTCTGATATTCTTCACAGCAATTATAAATACAAATATGTTATAATCTCTCTCTCTCGATCTCTCTCAAGTTAAATCATGTTACTCTTCTTTCTCTAATCTATGACTCTCACCTTCAAAGAGGGATCCAATCTGAAGGAGAAATGCTCTAGATCACCAAGGTCTGTGTTCCAGCTTATATACCCCAACTCACAGGCTCACACCCTGCCCGGCAAGATAAGGGGATCCAAAACAGGATGGAAATTTCTGGAAAGCAGGTGTCGCCCACATCCTGCAAAGGACAGAGAAACCTATCACTCAGCTGTTTTCTCGGGAAATCTCCAACTTTTATTATTTTATTATTAAGAATCCATCGAAGATGTTTGATCCTGGACAGATCAGGGATAATGATTGCAACGGTTTATGGTAGATTAGAAGCCCTTGTAGACTGACTGCGTGTAAATTACAAGAGCAGATTGTAAACAGAGAGCTTTAAAGTTTAATTTTGTTGTTTGTTTTACTTGTTAATGTTTTTTTTAAAAGAGTAAATAGAGGATAGGTCAAATTAGCTGGCCAAAGAGGGCTGTAGAAGTTTATAAACTGTAGGCCTGTTTTGCAAGGGAGGGGAATTCCCGTATTTTTTGGCGTATAAGACGCCCCTTAGTTTTTGGGGAGGAAAATAAGAAAATAGGGTTGCCAGGTGTCCACTATTTGAGCGGACAGTCCACTTTTTTCACATTATGTTCACTATTTTTTTTTCACAAAATAGTGGACATTTTTTTTATTCAAAAGCTTTATGATGAAATGGTATGTAATCTAAAGCTGTACAGTCTAAGAGAATAAGGATAGGAGAATCGCGTTTTGTCTTTTTTTTCCATAAGTTAGAATGAGACAAAGATCGAATGCTCATTGCAATAATCACATTTTACACAACAGCGCAAAAAATGCATTAAAGTAGTTATCTTTTGATATCGAAAATGTAGTGCTGAAGGTTTTTGCTGAATTTTTGAATTCTGCGAAGAAACGAGAAGAGTTGAAATCATTTTTTGAGTTTTGTGAGTCAGAATTCCATGAGGTTTTGCGCCATGTTCCAACATGTTGGTTAAGTTTGTTTAAAGCGGTCGAAAGACTTCTTTTAAACTGGATACCTCTAAAATCGTATTTTATTTCTCTTGGATCTGATGAGCGCCATAAGGTTATCTGGAACCTTATTTTGGATCAGGAAAAAGAACTCGCAAAGGACGATGAACCAACAATTTCAGAATTGTATTTATATTTCACGCACTTCTTCATGTCAATAATGCAAGACACCCGACTGAAGCTGGAAAGCAAGAAAATTCTTGCATGTGATCTTCACATTATCATGTGTAAGCTGCGTGATTCTTTGCAAAAAAAAATACGATGAGCAGTTTTTTGGAATGAAAGTTTTATTTGCCTTACATAAAAAACATTTGCCTGAGAATGCCGTGCAAAAGTTCAAGAAAGAAGCCATCAGCGTGTATCAAAGAGCCATTGCGTACCTAGAAAAGTGGTATAATTTCACCGATTCAGTATATGAGACGCTAAATTGTTTCAATCTAATTGATCGCAATAATCCTCCAACTTTAGAAGAAATGACGAACATCTGGTTATTATCACCATGGCGAGAAGAACTTCCACCCAACACTCTCTTCGATGAAATTTCTGCCTTAGAAGAAGTTTATGTTCATCTGCAGGGCGATTCATTCCTTGATAAGTGGACGTACTTTTTCAAGAAAGAGCCAGCTTGGGGCTTCCGGTTTGGCTTCCGTCGCCACCAGACGGTCTTTTGAGACCGCCAGCCCCGTCGCCCATAAAGAGCCGCCTTTACAGCTGAAAGGCGGCTCGAAAAACTCCGTTTCCTTAAGGAAATGTGAGACAGAGCCGGCGAGGGCAGGTAGAGCCCTCTGCGAAGTCCCCAGAGTTTATTTTTACTCTTGGGGAGGAAGCAGGATGAGGCTCCCTATTTTCGCTCGCCGCTGCTCCGGGCTTTGGGAGAACTCTGCGCTTTGCAGAGCCAGGCAATGGGACCAGACCAACTAATGAAACTAACAGATCGTCTGAATAAGTAGGATGAAATCCGGATCTGGGATCCTAAATTGCAAGTATTTCTAACTACCCTAAGACTGATTTTAAAAGTAAAGAAGAGTGAAAGGGGGAAAAAAGAAAGTTTAAAATGGCGACTGGCTGAGGCTTGAGAAGAAAGCCAAAAGCGAAAGTCCTTCCATTTGAATAGTTTAATATGTTACAAAGTAACTGAAACAATAGCGCTGGCTAGAAGTGAAGAGAAAATTTTTTTATTTCATGCTTCCTTCTTCTTAGAGACTTGATATTGATATTGTTTGGAGAGAAGTCTTTTTCCATAAAGGGAAAAAAATCTGTTTGTGGGGCAGGATGGCATTAAAACTGACAAAGCCAGACAACCAAGCTGTGGGGGGGGGGCTCCCCCATTTATAAACCACATGAACAAGTTTTGAGCTTGCAGATGCAGAAGAATGGCTTTAAAGACCTAAAAGAATTTGTATTGGAGGAGATGGCAAGACATGATGAGATTGTGAACCTTGAAAAATTTAGACAGGAAATTAAAGAGTTGGTTCAACAAAAGTATGATAACCTGAAGCAACTTATGAAAAGTTTCTTAGAAACAATTATAAAGATGGATAAAGATATCAATTTAGAGATAGAGTCTAAAATGAAGGAAGTTGATTATAAGATTCATAATTTGGATAATAAAATACAAAGAATTGAAAATGATTTAACAATGATTCAAGAAAAAAGCTCAGAAGTAGAGTCTAAAAAAATAAAGGAAGCTTACAATGCAGATAATATAAAACAAAGGATTGAAAATGAAGTCACAATGATGCAATTCAGATTCATGGAATTTGCGGTCAGAATTAGGGGAATACAGGAAAATAAAAGAGAAGATTTGAGAAAGATGTCTGCTGAAGTTCTGGCTGTGATTTTAAAGGTTAGTCTGGAAGAGGTATCCTGTAAGATTGATAAGGCCTACAGAGCAAATTCTTGGGTGGCAAAGCAAAGGCAGTTGCCTAGAGATGTGATTTACTTTACTGATAAAGGAATAAGAAACGATATTGTGCAAAAGTCTTTTAACTCCACTCTTGAAATGCATGGAAGGAAGATTTGGATATATAAAGAGCTACCGTCCAAGATGTTAAAAGATAGAAAGGATTTTGGATTTTTGGCGACTGAGCTAAAGAAACAAAACATCCCATTTAGGTGGGATGCTCCAGTTGGTATAATATTGAAATATCAAGGAGAAAGATATCAACTAAATACTGTTGAAAAAGCGGAAGAATTTTACTACAAGGTTTTTAAAATGGATTCAACATCTCTATGTATGCCATCAGTCTCAGGAACACACGAGGGGAATAAAGAAAAGCAAAATCAACAAGAGATTGAAACCCAGGCTAAGCAGATGGAGATGGAGGTAATGGAAAAACAACAAGTTACAGAGGCCTTTTTGCATGAGCCGCTTTTGGATTCTCCTTCAGAGGTTATAGTTGGAATACTTATAAAGACAAGAGAGGCGGCTTCGGATCCTAATGTGATGTCTTATCAAGTTAGAGACCAGCATGGAAATCAATCAGCTGATATACAAGTTCTAGAAAGGCAACCAGGATGGAGATCTAAACCACAAAAAGTTAAGAAAAGAAGAAGCAGGTTCTACAAAACTAAAAAATTTTAGACTAAACAACAGTCTAATGCCAGTTACTTAAGAGACGATTAAATATACATGAAAATATAGCTGAGGCAAAGTATTGGTTTATACTATTTTGAGAAGAATGACAGATCTCTGCAGTGCTGTGCTTTTGGGATGTGGAAGATGGCCTTTAATTGAGTGGATTGGAACTTTCTATTTTGGACTCTTTGACAAATGGATTACGTTTATGTTGAGCTACAAGGCAAGAGAACTATGGGATTGGGGCATGCAGAAGATCTGGTTGTTACCCTAACACGGTGGTTGGAATTAATAATCTAGATAAAAGACATTACAGAAGATACTATATGGAA